ACAGACAGGGGACATCTCTAGGACACACTTACCCTCACGGTAATTCCCATGTAATAATTTCTCATGACCAACGTAACCACAGGTAACAGTACTGCAAGCTCAGGTTATCAGCACGCTCCGCACAAGGAGCAAAAACAGAGGCACAGACCCCAAGAGCAGCAGAAAGCAACCTGGAATGCAAGACTCTGCCATTCCCTCGTCATCATTTCATGAGTCAGGAAAGTCCTCACAAATAAAAATGTCCTCATTCATCCCGGTGGATGTTAATTTCTGGCTTCAGACAAAACGGTCTGGGATTAAGGAGGAGGAAAATCAACAGCCAGAGCTGAAATGAGCGCAACTACCTGCCCAGAGACACCCTTTGTTAAGCATAATTAGCACCGGATGACTGTAATTTTATTAGCCTCAGATATTGTCGCTAATTGTTTTCTGTTGAAATCATAAACATTCATCTGCATAGCATTAGCCTATTACCCACAGTAAACGATACGGCGTCGTGCTGAGCAAGGCACACGGGTCAAGATCCGAAGGAAATCCTTGGGGGGAAGAACTGGGATCCATATCCGAAGCTGTGAAATGCCAGGAATGCTCCCCAGTGCATCCCACCCCTCTGCAGCTTTCAGTACACCACGCACCACAACATTTAGCCCCACAAAGACACACCACAGCTTGAAAACCAGAGCGATACTTGGCTGCAGACTGCTGCTCCCATAGCTGTCACTCTCCAAAAAAGCTTCGGTCATTTTGATGTAGCCTAGGTCTGAACAGCCATCCTGAAGCTGTTCTGACAATTAAAGGTTAATGACTGCAAACACTGAGCCTGCACCTTGCAGCCAAATGCAGGAACACAGCAGAGTGCAGATAAAGTGGCATTTACACAGCGCGTCAATGGGCGTGTGAGTTACATGGAGAGCTCAATTGTGTAGAGGTTCGCTAATAAAAACCCCACCAAAAATAAACTGCTCCACTGAAAAAGCGAACCGGGGGTGCGGGGGAACATGAGTCAGTAGGAGCACTTCTAAAATGAGAAAGCACTTCTGGAAACATGAAAATTTGAAAAGCTGCCTCAATGAGTAACGCTGAATTCCCACTGCAGACAGAAGAAATAGTTTCGTGTTTGGGGAATCACTGAAGAAACCAAAATGCCTTGGCTTTAATTTGAGTAATAAGTGTGAAAATGCAGATTCTCTCCACAGAAGTTTATATGGAAAGATACAAAACTTAGAATTCAATCAACCTAGACTGTATTAAAAAGAGCACCACGTTTGAGTAACTTCAGTGAACTGTAAGAAATAAAAAAAGAACAATTCCAGAAAAGCAAGGATAGAAACTACACTCTCTCAGCCTACGTACAAAAAACCTCTAAAATGATTTAGAGCATAAAATTAAAATACTGAAGAAACAGATCTTTACCCAGAGTGAAGAAAGTAAAGGAAATAATCCTGTGGGAAGCGTCACCGTAAAAATCTCAAGTGTAGAGTGCGTGTGGAAGACAAATGCATGTCAACTGCAAGAAATCCGTGTTTACCTTCTCCCTCCCCCAAGAGATAGCCACTGAAGATACAGGTAATTGATTCTACTGAAGAGTTATTTTGTCATCAATCTCCAATTAAACTTGCATTGCCCTGAGATCTAGATAAGAAGGAGCAGTGAAATACATGTTATCTGGGACGTCTCTCACAAATCTACTCTTAACAGAGTTGAAGGGTCACTGGCAATACTCAGAGATAGAAACAAAATAAAACCGAGTGCAGCAGCTCACCCACAACCCTTGGATCCAAGGCTTTGAGTTGTCTGCATAGCTCCTTCCTTATCTCGTTCCTAAAGAAATCTCGGTGTGTTCACAACCATTAAGCTTATCAGAGTGCTACTTCTCTTTCCTTGAGCTGGTACATCTGCTAGAAATTAAAGTGCTCTTTAATTAACGATGGTATAAATAATAACTGCGTACTGAGCCCAAGTCCTTCTCACTCGGGGCTTTGCACATGCCAATTTAAAGGCTTGTGCGAAACGCCTGGGTGTTGAAGTGCTCAGAAGCCAGGGCACACGCACCAAAAGCTGCTCCCAAGCAGCACGGAGGGGAGAAACTGCAGCATCCCCGGGGAGCGAGCACACGCGGCAGGAGCCAGCTCTCCGCAGGTTCGGCGTCCCTCCTCGCCCAAGAGGATGCCTGCACCGATCCAGGAGGGATTTCTGCAGCCAAGGAGCGATGAAGCAGCGTCTGAACATGCTTCCTAGACTGTGAGACCAACTGGAAAATATTTATCCAGATTTTTTTATTATTATTATTTTTTTAAATCCCACTTCCCTCCGCAAGCTGCCAAAAGAAACAACCAACCCTCTTTTGGGAGGTAACCGGTTCTGGAAGAAGGGAACTGCTCTGCCCCGGCTCTCCAAAGGTCAGCAGCAAACTCCCCGAGCCCACGCCGAGGTCCCACCACCGCGACCCCAGCGCAGAGGTAAGGCTGAGCACAGCAGGGCAGGCACGCTCCAGGAGGAAAACTTCCTTCTCTTCCTTTTAAGCTGATAATCTGCAACTATTTCAGAGGAAGTGGAAAGGGTTTTAATGAAGAGTAAGGAAAGGGCTTGGCTGCTTGGACAGAAGGCGGACAGCATGCCTGCAGGTTCTCGGTTCAACCCCAAAGCACGCCTCTCCTCTCGGGCTGTGTATTTAACCCCCCAGGCAAGGTCCTCCTTGGTTCTGGGTCACAGCGACAAGAAATTCTGTCCAACCAGATGTTTCCCGGGAGACTTTCACTTCAGACCTTCCAAGTTAAAGCGCCTGCATGCTTTGGAGAGACCCCGTGGCTCACACTACCTCTGGGCAAGGCGGAAGTCTGGGCAGACCACGGGGCTTAACAGCAGGATTCCCAAATCCTGCCTCTTGGACAGGAGAACAACCCATTTCCTTGGATTTATTCCTGAAGAGGAGGCACGACAGGCGAGTTACATTTCTCTCGGCGGTGCCGCCAGCTCTCAGGCCCACTGGGGCAGGGCTGACGCAGCAGGGCCAACATCCCGAGGCCAGCAACTCGCTGTCCTGTGCCTATAAACCCCACAAGGCAGCACGTCTTCTTCGGGGGCAAACGAGTTCTCTTAGAGCCCAACTGCTGTCTGCTCGAGGAGCAGGGGGTAAGCCTCCAAGAAGCAGGGCCCGGCTGGTTCAGATGATGTAGGTGCCCGCACAGCCTCGCTTCCCCAGGCACCTTCCCAGCTATGACTTCCTCCCTCAAGAGGGTTTGGCTTTTACCTTGAGTCCCATTGTTTTCTCTCAGTTCCTGAACTGCGAGGCTCTTTGTGAAACCACCTTTGGCTGGCTCGGGCAGAGGTTTCGGGGTCCAAGAGCCAGAAGGCTCTGTATTTGTCCCGTAATCAACATGTAACTTCTCACAAATAATCCTTTTCCACTGTTCCCTTCTCGCACTACTAGAAGCAGAGACCCCAACAACCTAGCCAACTAACAGCTCGTACGAATTATTAGAGAACCATTCGGTATCGAAGTGCACCAGGACCAAGAAAAAAGCAACCACGGCATGCTCTGCCCTTCAGAGATTGCACGATTTTAATGCAAAATGCTCATGTCCTACAGAATACCTTCCCAATATAGCTTGCTGACGTATGCTGGTGGGCGGAAAGGACCAAACAAACCTTCCCAGGGAGCTCGCAATAATACCTCTGCCTCCCAGGAGCTCTCAACAACAGTGCAAGCCTGCAGTGGAAATCCTTGTTCCTAATATCAAACCAACCCCTTAACACAGCTGCCTTCAAGAACAGCAATAAAGCAATCCTCTGTCTTCACTTTTTCCATGTATGCCACGAGATTCAACAAGCAGCATCAAGCCAAATTCCAACCGAGCAAGGTCGTGGAGGAATACAAGTCACAGACTGTACGTGGCTGGTTTGAACAAACCCTGGGATGCCAGGGGAGATGGTCCTTCTGTATTATTCCTCCTCTTTGGCCACTTGTTCGTGTTTTAGAGTGGTGTGATTGCTCCTAGCACCAAACACAACCCTGTAAGAGACGAGCCACTGTGGCTGAGACCCAGCACCCATGTGGACAGAGTGTTTCCTAGTAATAACAGCAAGATGAATTTATTTATTTTTTATTATGCATGATTTCTCCAGCAATTTTAACTAGATACAGATGTTATCAGGTTTTAATATGATAATCTGGAGGACTCTGGAAAGTGCTGAGGCTTTGGGGTGAAGGGAGGTATATTTTTGTTTTTATTCTAAATTTAACCTTTTTTTTTTTTCCCCCAATGCATCTGCAGTTGCTCAGTTCAGACTGGGGAGCCCATGAAAAAGTTGCACAAAAGACCTGAGAAAACAGAAGTCAAATTCCTTCTTCCCATTCCCCCCCCACACACACACTTGATGAGCATTGTTAGCAGCAGGGCAGATTGAAAGGGAATCTCGGCCTGGCATCCTGCTGACCTCAATCCCGGCTGGCTAAACCTTCCCAGCACTGCCGTCCCTGGCATCTAACACAGAGCAGACATCAATTTAGCTGATTGATTACAAAACTCTGAATCTGGTATGAGGAAGTAGATCCGTTCCACTGCCTTGAGCACTGGTTAAAAGACAGCTTTATTTCTCTTTCGCTCTCCCCCTAGTACTCCATTTACAGTAGCAGGCTTGATATATCCATCAGTGCACGACAGCTCCTCCGAGGCTGCTGCACTCGCAGGACTGCGCACACCACACACGCAGTTCATTTTGGAGAGCAATGCTTCTGCTTCCTCCAAGACATCTGTTTTAAAGGGACCTGCAGGTTTTTAAGCACATGCCAAAACATCACACCACTTCCCTAATCAGGAAAGGCCTTTTTTTTTTTCCCTAGTCATTTTTTTTAAATTAAGGTAGAACAGCAGAAAGTTGCAAATCTCATGTTAATAAACACCACGTTCAAAACCAGTTTCAACAACGATGGCATATCCCAAAGAATAACTATAGACACCTGTAACACGAGGAGAACAAAACAAAACAGAGCCCATTACCTGTGACCGGATCGATTTGATTATCATCTGCCTTCCACTCGCCCAGTGACCCACTGACAGGCTCCCCTCTTCGATTTATTATCCTTGAAAAGCCACTTGAGAGAGTGGAGAAGATGCCACGGACGAAGTAGCCCTGCTGCTCGCAGTCCACCGAGCGCACGGCTTGCAGGAAGGGCTTTGTGCTCCTGGCCGCAGAGTGCGGCACGGGTTCGGACAGAGAGCGGTTGAAGGGAACCCGCAGCGACCTGGTCCTCGCCTGGAAAAGCATCTCCGCTGGCTCTTTGTGGAGATCCTCAGTGCTGGCAGCATCCACGCTTGCAGAACTTTTGACAAGGCTCGGGTCGTTGCCTTCCCCTCTGAGGCTGCAGGAGCGCGCTCTTTTGCTTATCTTCCAGGGCAGCCGCGGATGTGTCTGCCACCTGTACGCTCCGAGCGCCTTCTCGGGGTCCGAAGCCGTTTGTTTATTCATCTTCTTGCTTTTCATTTGGTGGTACCAGTGATACTCCTTCAGGGTAGCCGTGCCAGCATCTTGTTCCGACAAGGATCTTCTAAAGGTCCTGGGAGAGAGACTATAGTACTTTTTAAAAGCACTCATTTTCCTGCTCTTGAATTTCAGCTTTTGGTGCCCTAAATCATGCTCTTCACCGCTGTGAAGGACAGCGGAGGCTCTCCCCAAGGAGCATCAACCCCAGCGCCAGGTACTTCTACATCTCAGCAGCAGGGACAAGCCCTCACGTCCAGCAGCACGCGCAGCCTCGCCGAGCCTGCTGCCGCTTCCTGCATTGTCGCCCTTCTGCACCAAGCTCTCAGGAAATGACTAAAAGAGCCCAGCCATGAAAAGCCACAGTGGGGTTCTGCACCAATCACACTTCACTTTTCTTCAGTCGACATCAAAGATTTGGTTAAAAAAGAAAAAAAAAAAGACAACTGTGAAAGTCCTTCACTCTAAGTCGCACCAAAGTCTCAGAAAAGTGGTGAAATTGCAATAGTCACACTGAGAGCAATGCACACGTCCTTCAGTGAAGTAGTAAATACACCAAACAGAGCAACACACAACAGAAAGACAATTCCTGGAGCTGATATTTACCACGGGTACGTTGGATCACTTAGGAAGGCCCCAGAGTTTCCTTTTAGAGAGAAGTGAAACACCCAGCTTGCTCAGAACCGGGTGCTGGAAGCTTCCCGGAGCAAGGCAAAGGGGGGAGAAGAAATGCTGCAACTTAATATAGTGAGAGTGTAAATACACCAAAGGGAGAGAAGTGAAGGGGAGGAGAAAAAGGGCAGAGAGGGTGGGTGGGACTTCATCAACCACACACCGAAGCAGAGATTGGGAAAGCTTTGAGGCATGATCTGCTGGCAAACAGAACCTGACAGTGGGCATATTTGTCTTCTTCTTTTCTTTCTTTCTTTAAACAAGAGAATAGGGTTTTGTTTTGATAAATCTCGTTGGAATAAGCAGGGTGGAAAAAATAATCCTATCTGTTTAACCAAGAGGAAAAAAAAAAAAACACCCTTGCCTTCTCTACAATTTAAGAAACAGCTGACTATTTTAAAATCTCATAAAGAAAATATCTGCTGGTGAACTCAGACCATGCTTGCCAAGTTTCAGAGCAGAACACTTAAATCTCAAGTCTACTCAAATCCCTGAAAATAGGGGGTTTATAATGGAAATGCTGACAGACCCTTGGCAATCAAGTGACAATGAAAACTACTTCTCTGGTTAAATAAAATGATAATCTGGTCTGGCAGACCAATAAAGCTTAACCGGCCCGCTATGGGATCTCGCCTTTAAGCTTCGACGGCATTCATCAGCCAAAGCACATTCCTGACAGCTGCAGATGCAAAACTTCCTCACTTCTGCAAGCACAGGGAGAAGGGTGTCACTGCTCCCCGAAACAAGGACGCAGTTACCCAAGACCTGCACCACGTGGAGAAATCCGTTCTCTATTCAGCAGCAAGCTGCGTTCTCACTTTGAAGCAAGAGAAGTGGCTGAGTAAAGTTGCCTGGTTCAAGAAGTTTCACCCACCTCAGACACTCGAACAGCTTGGACACTGCGATACCAACTCCGCATCAAAAGCACCCAAGCTGCCTCTCCTGCTCTGTAGGAAGTCGTGCTGCTCAGCGCACGTGTCCTCGGTGGCAAAACGTACCCGAGCAAAACGCTGGTGGAGAATTCACCGGGGAAGAAGCGAGCTGGCTCTTCTCCAGGCAGACCAGGAAACACTTCTCTGTTTCTCAATCCCAGGGGCTGCTGATCCCCCCTTGAGGCAGCCCACCTGGTCCCACGGACTTGTATGGCTTGAGGTCTTGTAAATAATTCCCGACGTGACGCTCACCCACAGCCAGCAGTGTTTCTCCTCCTCGATCCCCTTCACCGAGCACAGAGGCCTGTGGGGCCGTGCCTCTGAGGCAAGCATGGCACTGAGCTTGACCTCAACCATAGCCACCAGTACTTGGTCACCCACCCCTTCCAGCAACAGCTCCTGCTTTTCCTTGGTGAGCCTTTGACCCCTCAAGAGGCAGCAGCGCCTTGAACAAATGCTTTGAATTAGTCAGTCTGGTAAAACCGGCCCCATGGAACTTCAGAAATAAGTACAAATAAAGCCGGCAGACGACAGTGTGGTTTGCTCTCGTGGCACAGGCCATAATAAGCCGAGAAAACTGAGAACGTGAGGTAGGTTTTTGGTCAGCTCCGCAAGCCTCGCTTGTGTGAGTTTCCACTAGCACATCTATATGGACTGCTGGGAGCGCCGAAGGGCAGGGGAGGACAGAAAACAGAGACAGGCACTGCAGTAGCTCAACTCCTCCCGGGATTTGCTTGCTGGAGATTCTCAGCGTGCTTTCTAGCTGCTGCTGAAACACAGCTACCAAGCGGAAAGCTGATACAAGGCGCCTTTTTGGCAACAGGGTTCGGAAGCACCTAGGTGCTGCACCAGGGGACTCGGTGGGACCAACAGGAGCGGCTCAACTCAGATAAATTGCCACCAGCTGTGGCAACGTTACTCTGGCACATGGGTTTAGGCACAGTTTAAGTTCAAGTAATGTCAGAAGGGTCTTCACTTTTGATTTCCCTTTTGCTTTCTTGTTGCCACCGCTCAGACGAATGTGAGTCTTGCTCCAAGACAGCAGTCACCCAGCTGCCGAACTCAGTGGGGATTTCACTGCATACTCACAGGGTAACATGGTCTTTTCTCAAAGTGATTCTAAAAAGGGCACGCAAGGCTCACATGTTTATTGACATAAAACCACTGATGCACAAGTTTGCTTAGTCTACAAAGAAGACAACTCTTTTAAGCTGCTCACTCAAAAATGTTAGCCTGGGCTTCGAGTCAAACCGGACCCTTCCCTCCTCCACATCATCCATAGCGAAGGCGATGCCCAAACAAATCTGTTCTCATCCAACGCCACCCAGTTACAGTCGGCTTCAGCATTTCTTGCGTGAGATGCAAGGCGGCGATTCACGTCGCTGAACGCTCTCCTTGATCCGCAGGCCACACGTGGAAGCTGAAGTCGTTTCAGAGCAGCAGCTTTTCTTGGGAAGCGCTTGCACGGCTGACTATCACAAAGAAATCAACTTGAACAGTGACTGCCAGCACGTTGCTAAATCCCTAACCACGGAGAGCCACCCACTCAGCTGTCAGCAGGTAAAATAATTACAGTGGAAGAAAGGAGCTTGTCAATTCACTTGAGAAAGTCAGGAATATTTTCACTCATGCCTCCCGTCTTTATTACCTGCTGCATAAAGACGTGATCCTCGGCTGGCAAATTTTCTCAGAAGGGTGTTTTTTTTTTTTCTGGTGTGTTTGTAGTTCATTGTGCCAGATCATTCATTAAGCTTTTTCAGAAAATTACTATTTTCTTCCTAACAATCCAGTCATTTAATCATCTGATTTGACATGTTTAACAGCATATATCTCACTGCTCCTAAATATTTAAGTAATTTATGCAAAAAATGCAGATTTGCTACCCTGAAATATAACTGTACTCCAGCTTTAGCATTATATTGGGAAAACAATCTTTCTTAAATGTGTATCAACATTTCACAGAAAATTTACACGAGCAGCATTACATTTTCACCGAGCATATGAAGACAAGTCTTTGGCAGCGGCCTCCTGCGTGGGAAGTCCTCCCTCCACCATTCAGCCTTCCAAAAAACCTACCCAGCTCTGCTGCAAGAAGCTGCAGAAATTCCTCGCAATATCAGTTGTTTACTAAACACCACCAGCCAATTACAAAAATAACAATAACAATGTGAAAAACAAAAGCAGCACTGCCAAGCAGCTGGAGGGAGAACGTGTCTCTGACGATAAAAAATAATTTTTAATGCTGTCCCACTCTCGTCTTGTGCTCCAGTAAAGGCACATGCAAACTATAACACTTAAATTCATCTTTATTACAGTTCATACTGAGAAAAACGTGAATTGAAACCTCCCATGACCAATCCACTCCATTTTAAATTAGTTTTGGACCAAGCACAGAAGATTTTCCAAGGCGGGGATGGGGTGAGGGGGGCAGAGGAGGGCAGTAACCAAAGGAGAGAGGGCACCGGAGCCCCCAGCCAGCCCTGCAGCTTTATCACCACACGTGGGCCTTCAGCTATGTTCTCTCCTCAAAATGATAATAAACACAGCAGGTTCAGAAAGCAACATTTCTGAGAAGACACCAGGCTAAGTCCCCAGCTACCAGCCACGAAGTGAGTTCTCTCCAAGGCAGAAAAGTGAATCCAATCGCACCCAGCACCATCCCTGGATAAACCAGAATTGATTCATCCGGGCAGGGATCCCTGACTTTGCAGACCAGATCCCTCCTTTCCGCCTTCAAAACTTGTCCAACGCTCCCTGCGCTGGCACTGTTCAAGAAAAAGTAATCAATATATAAAGCAGAAATCATCACAAAACTCTTCCAATTGACCCAGCTTGACATTTAGCTAAATAGCACAGCCGAAGATGAAAGATTTTTCCTCCCCTTTAAATTACTGACTTTTCAAACTATTAAGTTTTGTTTATGCAAGGCTAAGTAATTAATGACCTAACATCCCCTTCCCATCCCCTATCGCCGAGATGCATCTGTTTCCCCCGCAACACTTCCTGCAGGTGAACATCACTTCTTGGAGCAGCACGCAGCCGTGCACCTGACTGCCTCATGTTCAGTGCACCAAGTTATGCAGAGGACAAACCAAACAGTACCTTAAAAATCGTTGCATTTGGGATTACAGTGACTCGAAGAGCAAGGCTTGCTGGAGATCGGAATCCGCATGGTTGGAACACAGATAATTTACTGAGCCCAAAGTGGAGTCCCTGGGAGCAGAGCTTCGAGTTGGAAATACCTAGCAGGGACTACACAGCAAGCTCACCTGTGCCAGGTAAATAAAAAAGGCAGGCTGTCCTCACCATCGCTATGCTGAGAACAGAGGGCATCTATGAATAAACTGAACAGTGACACCGCCATACCCACACGCCCAAGAGCACCCAGTTTTCATGACCTACCATTTCCGTGACAAGGCACACTGCAGCTGCTGGAGCGTTGTGCTGAATTTCCACGTCCCTTACCCTCCAGTTTTGGGATGTCTGGTTTCTGAAGGAAGGCAGTGAAAACCTCTTGAAGATTTCTGCCCCCTAATTCCACGGCAAATTTCTTCTGCCATGGCTCTGCTGATACAAACTACTCATTTGAAAAAGTTTCCTAGCTTCAGTTTTTCATGCTGTTCCCATGGTCTACATGAGAAGATGCTGCAGCCCTGACAACTGAGCGGAGTGATAATACAGATTTATGAGATGCTGCGTTCTGGATCAATGCCAAGAAAAGTTTGCAAGAAAATCCCATTTCAATACACCAAGAGC